CTTTTGAATAATTATCAGGAAGTGTGATAGAAGTTGTATTTTACATGTTGAATTGATTAGTCCTTAATAGACACAAAAATCCAGTTCTCCAAACATTTAAATCATGGCATGATTTTTAGTCTTTAAAATCTAAAATATAATTTAGTTTTTTTAAAAGATAATTTATCTTTTCTTCTATTCACTAGAGGAATCTTAAATTATGAGATCCTAAATAGATGTCCAACTTCTCAGAAAGTTAAAACCAGGTGACAATGAGTTTACAATTTTGTTGGCAGAGGTATTGATAATAGCTTATCATTTGGCTACTTGAACATCATTAGATCTCTCAATTCTCATAGTAGAAAAAGTTGTTCTTAGAAGAAATCTCCATTTCTAATTAAGTCCATTAGATTTGGATTTAAGTGTATAATTTGGAGAGGGATTACAGGAAACACTCTTCTGATAAGTGACAGTCTCTATAAAACAAACTTTCGGAATATTTTTAGTTTACTGGAGCAGGCAAAACAGAGTTACTTTCAAAATGTAGTATCTATTCACCTGAAATCTCTTCAGTAAACGTTTGCTACTTTTCAATCACTTCTAGTTTGTTAATTCAACAGCTTCTGAAGCATATTCTTTCTTCATACCTAGCGATTTTGGTAATTGTAGTAAAAATTTATTGATTCAAGTCTTATTAGTAGCACTTTTGTTGTTGTTAATTGCGAAGTTGTGTCCGACCCATCGCGACCCCATGGACAACATTCCTCCAGGTCTTCCTGTCCTCTACCATCTTCTGGAGTCCATTTAAGTTCATGCCTACTGCTTCAGTGAGTCCATCCAGCCACCTCTGTCGTCCCCTTCTTCTATCGCCCTTAATCTTTCCCAGCATTAGGCCCTTCTCCAGTGAGTCCTTCCTTCTCATTAGGTGGCCAAAGTATTTGAGTTTCAACTTCAGGATCTGGCCTTCTAAAGAGCAGTCGGGGTTGATCTCTTCTAGGACTGACCGGTTTGAACGCCTTGCAGTCCAAGGGACTCGCAGGAGTCTTCTCCAACACCATAGTTCAAAGGCCTCAATTCTTTGTCGCTCAGCCTTTCTTATGGTTCAACTTTTACATCCATACATTGCAACTGGGAAAACCATGGCCTTGACTATATGCACTTTTGTTGGCAGGGTGATGTCTCTGCTTTTTAGTGTGCTGTCTAGATTTGCCATATCTTTCCTCCCCAGGAGCAAGCGTCTTTTAATTTCTTGGCTGCAGTCCCCATCTGAGGTGATCTTGGAGCCCAGGAAAATAAAATCTTCCCCATCTATATGCCAGAAATTGAGAGGGCCGGATGCCATGATTTCGGTTTTCTTAATGTTGAGTTTCAAGCCAACTTTTGCACTCTCTTTTTTCACCCGCATAAGAGGCTCTTTAGTTCCTCTTCACTTTCTGCCATTAGAATGGTATCATCTGCATATCTTAGGTTGTTGATATTTCTCCCGGCAATCTTAATTCCAACTTTTAATTCATCTAGTCCTGCCTTTCTCATGATGTGCTCTGCATATAAGTTAAATAGGCAGGGCGACAGTATACAGCCTTGCCGGACTCCTTTCCCAATTTTGAACCAATCAGTGGTTCCGTGTCCAGTTCTCACTGTTGCTTCTTGACCCACATATAGGTTTCTCAAGAGACAAATAAGATAGTCTGGTACTCCCATCTCTTTAAGAACTTGCCACAATTTGTTGTGATCCACACAATCAAAGGGTTTAGCATAGTCAATGAAGCAGAAGTAGATGTTTTTCTGGAACTCCCTAGCTTTCTCCATGATCCAGTGTATGTTGACAATTTGGGGTTGGTAGACCATTGCCTTCCAACTTTTGCTTCTCCTCACCACTTAGAAACATGCTTCTTTATGTCCTTTGTAGAAAAAGTCTTCCCTTGATCCTTCTGTTTGCGCTAACTTCTGTCCAGCTCTGAACAGGTCTGAATGATTATCTGCCAATAGCTAAAATATTTCTCAGAGCAACCCTGCAGATGATCCTGTGTTTGTCTCTCCCTAGCAAATCATCCTAAATAGGGTGGCTGAGCAACAGTTGGAGAATAAAATAAGAGCAGAGAAATAATTACATTTTGCTGCCCTTATCACCGCATGCCACTCTGAATATTGGAAGTTATTTAATAAATTCTTGCCTATTAATTTGAATTTACAGGTGTTTAATTTAAAGGTGTTATCCTACTACATGCCATAGGTCTTTCGATTTAGGATATCCTTTTTTATAATGTGATAGTATAATTAATAGTAGTATTTGCAGATTTAGTAATTTAATCCTGTATTTCTACACACTTAGAACCAGTTTGATGTCGTGGCTGAGGTGCTGAACTGGAAAGCAGGACACTCTTATATTATTTTTTTTT